CTCTTCAAGGTGGATTTTCGGAATCAGCGCCTCGAATTATTCCAGGTAAGCAAAGAACTTCAAGTCGAGAATCTGCCGAGCCGCTGCCTTTAATACTCAAGGCTACAAGCTCCTCATGGCTATGCTATCTGTCAGCACATGGTCATCAATTGCTGTAGGCACACATTTTAGCGCATCGAGCGGATCCAGAATGGATCCCAGTGTATCATCAGTACGGACACATCTTAAATGTCATGCATTCTAAGAAAGCGATATTTATGCACAGAACGTTTATCGTTGATTTTCCTAGCCAACTTCATTTAGTTTTAGAATTTTCTTACTTGAGACTTAGTTTTGCATTATGCAATCCTTTTTTCCAAAGCTCCGTCAAGGATATGACCGCATCACGTGGCCGCGCTAGCGTTTTTCTGCAGCATTGCACTTCCTTCTTTCTTTCGACGTTCAATGAACACTGACATATCGACTCTAAAAACGAGCACTTCCTGCTTCCTGCAAGGTCATTTTACAGGCGATCACATTGTGTTGCATCAAACTTCAATCGGAAATGTGGCCATATTAGTGTTTAATTGCCTGTACGAATCCTGTTGCCTGAAATATCTTCTATTGAAGTTCCCCTTCCATTTCACTTTATCTCCATCTTCTTTTGGTACTTATCCATTTACGTCAGAGGCTGTCACTTCCGCCTTCTCAGCCTTTGATCGTTGATAATTTGACTACGCATGTCTTTTCTGTAAATTGTTGCTTCCGTAAACAATTTTCACCGCCCCTTATAAGCAACCTTTTCCAGATACCATGGCTGAGCTCCCGCACATAGGACGACACTGTGACGCCGAGCTATGCCATCTACTTGGTAAGTCGTCATTTATCTTGGATTCTAGGGTCATTGACTTAGTATGCGTATTGCACACCATGCCCGCTACTTCACGACGCATAAAAATAGACCTTTTGATTTCCTCGATTTTCGTGTTTTCTTCTATTTTTTGAATAACGTAGTAGAACACCTCTCCATAGCTGGATTGCTAGATAAGGTTTCAGTGAGAGTTACTGGTAGGTCGTCGGTTGCCGCGCGTAGTGTGCAGGCTCACATATCAAGTTACAATTTGCTGGCGATGGTCTATGTTAATCTCGGTTTTACTTATCTTTCTCCGTGCCTCCGCTATACTCAGCGTAGTCTGTTAGCGCTTCAGATATTTGTCATATCTGTCATACTGTAGGATTACTGTAACAACAGAATAAACTCTTATAACAGCTAGTATAAACGCATGCTCAATCAGGAAAGATAGCTTATGTGATTACTTGAGTCTTTTGTCGTTCCACTAGCTGTGCAAACGTTTTTAAGACATTTCTACATTTTTCCTGCGAGGAGATTTTAACCTCATCCCTTTCAGATTTTCTTCCAGTACGTTGCGATGCTTGTTCCGGAACCTTTTGGTAAGTTTTATTTTTCCTCCATTTTTTGTGCTGTTCAGATTTCTTCTTTTCAGTTTACAACATTTCACTTATGAAGGACATAATTGCAAGAATGCCTACAAAAAGGTTGGTGATCACTGCATTTTTTGTTAAGAAAAATGAGTGCACCTTTCTAGAATGTTCAAGTTCCCATCTGCCCCATTTGCGACAGGCCTGTACCCACGCCGAAAGGTGTTTCTCCAGATGCTCAGGTGAGATTTTGAATTCTTTTATCATTCTTATTGAAAGAATTTGTTGCAGGTTAATGAACATATTTTGAATAATTGTGCTGCTAGTGCGAAGAAGAAGGTTTATGTAAATAAATGTTCTGTAAAGGGATGTAAGAAGAAGGAGGTAAGGTTGCCGTTTCTTTTTCTAATAGTGTATTATTCACTTTTTTGTGCTAGAAGTGACTATTTTAGCTTGTCCCCATCCGCTGCCCAAATTGTAAGTACAACTTCTGCCTTGCTCATCGACATGAAAGAGACCATGATTGCGAACA